GATCCAGCAGGTACTGGGCCTTTTGTCACTTCACCACAAGATAGAAAGTAGAGCAAGCAGGCAAGTCCCCAAGAGAAAGAACATGAAGGATGGCTTTCTTTATAAGAACCAAGTTCCAGGTGAGTGATCAGTCCCCCAAGAGCAAACTCATGCTAGGAGTACTGAATCCACTGGTGAAGCTCTGTTCCCACGATTCAAACCCTGCCCACTAGGCCCCTTGCCCAGCACTGGCTCTGGAGGAGGAATCTTCAGCAGGGTTTGGTGGCAGAGTTCTTCATACCTACCCAGTGTCTTGAGCACCTGGGTTCCCTGCATGCCTTCTCATAGCCCACCATGGTGGCATTTGGGATCCTTTAACACCCAGTCATTGCTTCCATGGCAGCCAGAAAGCTAATTCCATTCTTCCTACTTTGTTCTTTCCTGTCCTTTCTCTTCCTGCTTTTTATTTTCCCTGTTTCCATTATTTCTGCTTAAGCACACAATTAAATGTGATAATACTCCTCAGGCCTTCTGCTGGGCATTCCCCTCCTCTGGGTAAGTGAAGCACATCCTTGAGTACCCTTGGGCACTTCGCCTCTAGTGGGGCCCCAGAATTCCCTGAACTCTGGGGGAAGTTAACTCTTGCCTGTCCTTGACAGTGAACACACAGCTTTCTTGGGTTTAAAATATATGGGTTACACTTGCTTTTTAATACAGTAGTGTTATTGTAAACAGTCTTTCTCATGCTGAATCCAGTTAAAATTGCTTCACAGTTTACTCACACCAAGACGTTATAGACTGATGATGATTTCTGATCAGGACAGCGCTGTGGTGACAACACTCCCAGCAGGCATACCGCCCAGTCTCCCTCTGCACCCACTTCCTGGAGTGAGATAACCACAGAGCCCAAGTGGTCACTGGGATTCTCAGCGGCTGGTCCTTGAGATCTTGCCAGAAGAATCTCATGTGAGGGGCTGAGATTGTGGCTCAGCGGTAGAGCGCTCGCCTAGCATATTCGAGGACCTGAGTTCAATCCTCAGCACAGCATAAAAATAAAATAAAGATGTTATGTCCAATTACAACTAAATTTTTTTAAAAAAATAATAATAATAATAAAAGCAGAATCTCATGTGAGTTGCATAGAGTTACAAGCAAGAGTTTACTAGGAAATCTGGAGAGTACAGATTTTCAGGACAAACCAAGCAGATCACCTCGGGGAGGCCAACATGGTCCCAACAAAGTGAGGACTAGGGTTTTAAGTCCCCTTGTTCTTGCCTCAATTTCTTAGCCACCCCCATCAGTTTATTACCCTTTAAATATCTCTCAACAGCAAACTTTCTCTGTGTGGGTATTGATGTCATCATCGCAAGGGGTGGTTGGGTGGTGGTGACTTATTTGGTGATAAGGAAGGGTCTTGGTGACCTGGTCATTGGAGATAGTGCCATCAGATGTGGTCTGGAAACAATAGCTCCCTTAAGTCCCTTTAAGGACTGTAATTAACTCTGACTGGAGAGGTTCTGACATTCCAGGCCCCATTTTCCTGAAGCTCCTCTGCTTTAATGAGGTTCCCCATGATTTTAAGTAAAAATTCCCTGAAAAGATTATAATTATCTACTGGTTGGGGAAGGTTGGACATTCTGGTTCTTTTTTTTTTTTTTTGGACCACAGATTGAGCTCACGGGCTCTTGACCATGGGCTACATCCCTAGCCCTATTTTGTATTTTCTTTAAAGACAGGTCTCACTGAGTTGGCTTAGTTTTTAGTTGGCTAGCCCTTGCTGGGGCTGGCTTTGAACTCACAATCTTCCCATCTCAGCCTCCTGAGCCACTGGAATTACAGGCATGCACCCATGCACCCAGCTTCTCATTCTTATAGTGGTTGCAACTATAAGAATTATAGTTCGATAAGTTTCCTGAGGTTCTGGTTTTATAACTCATGGATTTTTTTTTTCTTTTTGTACTAGGGATTGAACCCAGGGGCACTTTACCAGTGAGCTGCATCACACATGTTTTTACTTACTTATTTATTTTTAAATTTTGAAACAGTATCTCAAAAAGTTGGTTAGGGTCTTGTTAAGTTGCTGGGGCTGGACTTGAACTTGCAATCCCCCTGCTGCAGCCTCCTAAGCTGATGCGATAACAGGCGTGCATTGATATGCCCAGCTATGACTCATAAATTTTTTTTAATATTTTTTTAGTTGTCAGTGGACCTTTATTTTATTTATTTATATGCAGTGCTGAGAATTGAATCCAGTGCCTCACACATAGTAGGCAGGCACTCTACCCACCTATTCATGGCTGACTAACCCACCTCATAGAGCTGTCCGTAGAGTGCTGTGAAGTCTCACCTTCTTCACACCTGTAAAGGCTGCTGCCCACCCTCTTTCTCCTGCATCTGTCTCCTGGATGAATGGCCAGTTTTCTTCTGCCTTTTTTTTTTTCCCCCTGCTGTTTGAATCTCACAATCCAGTCTCAGGCCTGGAGCAGCCTTTCTGTTGCCTGCATTTCCTCTGAGTAGTGTGTGTGTATGCTTCTGGGGACTGAACCCAGGGTTGTTGTACCACTGGGTTGCATTCTGAGCTATTTTTTATTTTCAGACAGGAGCTCACCAAATTGCCCAGGTTGTTATCAAACTTGCTGGGATTACAAGTGTGCACCATCACTCCTGGCTCAAACTTCATTCTTTTCCCCTCCTTCTGAGTTGAGATTCCTAGAGGTTCCTCCCCAGATTTGTTGCTCTTCCTCCAGAGTGTAATAGGGCCAGCTTTGTGCCTTCAAGGATGTAAAATGAGCTGGCAGGTGCAGGGAGAACCACTGTAGCATGGAGCTGGGGTTGGGTGGGTTCTTTGTCTCTCAGATTCAAAGAATGAAATCCACAGACACAAATAGTGGAAGGGTAAAAACAAAGTAACAGGAAGAAAGAAGGGGAGGGTTCCCGAGAAAGGTTTGCCAACAGGTTTCTGTTGTCTAGGGGTTTATATGAGTCTGTGGAGTTCAGGAAGTTAACCCCAAACCCATTCTTGGCTAAAGCAGTCAGTGTCCAAGAGCTCTTCATGTACCCTTTGTTCTAATCAGGCTACCTAATTGTTGCTGCCTTGTTGGAGGGAGTCTGGGCATTAGGCAACAGACCAGACATCTGGGTTTTTTGGGTTCCAGCTAATGGGACCCAATTATCAGTTAGCGTTTCTGCTTACATAGGATGAGGCCTAGCGTGTGCTATAGTTTCTCAACCCTGCTGCACAGAGACCTGACCTTGAAGGGGCCCAAATTGCCTTTCTGCTTATTTTTACTCTTCCTTCTATATCACCAGGACAAGGCATATGATTTTTCTGGAGTCAACCTAACCAGATGTCTGGTCATAAACTTCTTGTGCTTAATATTTTTAAAATAACCATATTTTGTTTAAAGAGTGAGCATCTGATCTGCTCCAGGCTTTTTCACATATGATATATTATTTAATGTGATGACAGTGTCACCACCCTAGCCTCATCCTCTTCATAAAAAGTGAAACATGGCCTGGAGGGAGCTGACAGTGGCCCTGCATTGAGGAGAGTGCAGGGCAGTGGCTGTGGAGGTTGGAGTTGGAGAGTGCACCATGCCACATCATTGACTCCAGTATATCTGGGCAGTGGAGGAGGAATGCTTCTGACTGGGAGCTGGACTGCCACGTGGGGTTTTGGTGGGAGTTGTGCAGAAGCATAAGTGGCAGGCTATGGCTAGGCTGGAGGGAGGGGTGGGTGCCATAGTCCCACTGACTAGGAGGACTGTGAGCATGGAGAAAAGCATGTGGAGGGGAAGGGTCATATTTAAGTCATGTCTCCACAATCAGACCTTTGGAAAAGGAGCACTCTCAGCAGGCCCTGTGGGGTACAGTCCTGCTCCTGTTGGTGCTCAACCTGGTGGAATGAGGTCCCAAGTAGGGGTTGAGGTTTGGGGCTCATCTGCCTCTAGCCAGTTATTCAAACCTACAGGGGTGTGGTTGAGGTAGTGGGGAGAAACAGGAGGAAGACTAGGGTCCTAGACATTGTCATGTAAAGGGCTGAGGGATTCTGGTCCTGCCTGTGCTCATAGAGACACTTGTGACATTCTTTGAGCTGATGGATGTGAGGGCACCCACTCAGCTATGCACCACCAAGATGGCAGCTGCTATAAGGCAAGCAAGACATGCCTCTGCAACACCACTGTGCAAATGCTCTATTGACAGGAAGAAACTGGGTCTCCATGAGGGTCTGCTGGGAATAGAGATTTTGATTTTAACAAATGTAGGGTGTCTCTGTCCTCTGCATTTGCATTGACGGGGCTGATGCCATCCATGTGCTACACATGTTCACTCCAGCAACCTCAGCAGGGCCTGGGGGTTCTCAAGAACAAATGAGACTAGTGGGCCAGCAGGAGAGAGCCTTGAGGTTCTCAAATGTGGCTGAGAATGTAGAAAATTTGAGTGAACCTGAATCCTCTGTTTTTAAAAGTGGGTACTCAACTACAGAATAAAAGGCACCCGCGCCTTTTGCTCTCAGGGAAGTTTTGGTGTGTGTGAGGCACAAGTCTTGGAGAGCTCCTTCCTAGGGGACATGTCTGGGTCTTCTCTCTGTCAAGGGCACAAGCAAGGGACTGTGCTTTCCTTGTCCTCGGCCTGCCACCTGGGCAGCTTCTGTCGACAGCTGCACCCTCCCTTCCTCCTCACCTCCAGCAGAGACTTAGGACCACCCCTGAGCTCTCTGGCAGCGGTTTCTGGGGAACTCTAAAGGGTGCCTGGAGGACTGGCTGTAATGACCAGACATCTGGGTTGTCTGGGTTCTAGCTAATGTGACCTGAAGCAGCAGTTGCTTTGCTCAGCAAACACATGAATGGATCTGGATGTTCACAAGCACAGAGATCTTCCCTCCTTTGGTCTTTGCTCCTTTTAGAAGAATTTGTTACCATTTGTGAAGATGTTTAAATTATGTAATGCCGATGGTTGGCTCTTCCTGGTGGAATGGCCGCTGTTGTGAGATGATGTGCATTTTCTCTTCCATTTTGCAGATGATGTCTTTCTGCCTAAAGATATCGACCTGGACAGTGTGGATATGGATGAGACCGAGAGGGAAGTGGAATATTTTAAAAGGTAAATGTTAGAACTGAATGTTTAAAACAAAGGTAGCCCTGTGGATGCCGAGCTTGTTTTGTTTCCTCTCTTCTCCTGACCCTCCCCTGGCCTTTCCATGGTGCTAGATGAATTTCATCTGCAAGCTAGCAGCACAGGCCTGTGTCTTGCCCATGCCCCCAGCACTTGCTTACACACTCGGCCCAACTTCACACACCTGTTCACTTATCCCCTCCCATAGCTGTTCAGAGTCTGGTTGGTGGTGGTAGTTCTCATGGTGGGCCTGGACCAGCAGTGGCACACAGGAACCCAAGTCCCTCCCAAGACCTGCTGCATCTGACTGGGAGTGTTTTGGCAGGGGTTTCACCTGCATTTATGAATGCCTTCCAGGTGATCCTTAATGGTTGAACGCACTCATGTGTCCTACATTTAAGGAGAAAAGTAATATTTTAGATATTGGCTATTTTTTTTGATGGCAGTCTATCAGTAATGTTTTATCTACTGTGAGAACTGTGGGAAAAAAATTATTTTAAAGCACTTTATATTTTCTTTGGAATTATACACAAGTAATACAAAGAAGGAGTATGCAATGCAAAAATTGATTAACTCATTCCTAAAATATTGGAGAATTATAAATACTTCTGGAAATTACATCTAACTTTTGTATAATTTAGTATACATATTAGCAGATGGAGAAAAGCATTCACTAAACTAAACATTCATTCATATAAAAACTTAACAAATGAGAAGAAAAGGTCCATGAAAGAGGGAAAGGCCTTCAGGAAGTGTCGTGTGTGACAGCAAGAGAGCAAAAGCGTCCTTTCAGGTTGGAGATGCCAACTCTCATTTGTAAATGTCTGAAAAGAAGCGAAGGGGTAAGAGAAGGAAGAAAATGGCATTATTCTCACATAACCCAAAAGAAACCATTGATAGATTATTTGAATTAATGAAATAGGTTGGCAAGGGTATTGGATTCAAAGTCAGCAAGTAGTCTCCCTTCTTTAACATCTTTGAAAAAAAAAAAACATGTACCTAGGATGATGATGTTCATCTATTCCATCATCTTTTCAACTTCCATAATTCCTCCCCTTTGCCTAATCCAAAGTTCCTCCACTCTTGGAGGCATTTTTATCTTAGAACAAACAAGTTTTACATTAACTACCTCTCTCCACCTGCTCCCACAGAAGCAGGCAAGACCTAAGCTGAGGTTTTGTGGGCAAAGGTTCTGGGGAGGCTTTGGCCTAGGTTTTCTATTACTAAACCACTGTGCCCTGAGTATTGGGCAAGAGCACCTGGGAACAGAGATAGGAACTGAAGGTATGACTGAAAGCCAAATGTGGTGGCTAATGCAGGAGGATCAGTTGAGCCCACAAGTTCAGTATCATCCTGGGTAACAGCAAGACCCTGTCCCCCAAAAAAACAAGCAAACAGGCGTGTGGTTGCCTCACATGCATGAGGTATTGGCTTTAATCCTCAGCACCACATTAAAAAAAAAAAAAAGATATTATGTCCATTTACAACTAAAAAAAAATTTTTTTAAATACATAGTTGCAATTCAAGTGGCAGGGAAGGTGGTTTACCCTGGGGCTGGGTTTGGGGAGCAAGGGATGGAGTAGGGCTACATTTTGGATATAGGAAGAACCTCAGAGGGAAGTTTTCCCAAGGTAGCCTGTAAGATTCTTGTGCATTAAAATCATGCATGACTTCATTCATAAACAGACACCCCAGACTTGGGAAAAACAAGAGAAATATAATGGTTAAAATCAAGAATAAAGTAGAGCTAAACACAGTGGTATATACCTATAATCCCAGCTACTTGGGAGGCTGAGGCAGGAAGGTCACAAGTTTGAAGGACTGGGGATGTATCTCAGTGGTAAAGTACTCTGAGTTCCATCCCTAGTACCAAAAAAAAAAATCAATACATAGATGACACAAACAGGTTAGACAGTGTTACAAAGGGAATTAATGAACTAGAAAACATCTGAAAAATGTACCCAGAATGTAAGCAGGGCACAGTGGTGCACACTCGGAGTGTGAAGAAAGAGGATCACAAGTTCAAAGCCAGCCTCAGCAATGGTGAGGCACTAAGCAACTCATTGAGACCCTGTCTCTAAATAAAGAACAAAACGGGGCTGGGGAAGTGGCTCGGTGACAGAGTGCCCCTGAGTTCAATCCCAGTACCAAAAACAATGTACCCAGAAAGCATTGAAATGTTTAGAAAATACGAAAGAGAGGTTGAAACTAAGTAAATCTAATAAAAAAAAAACCTTAATATATAACATCAGCCCAAGAAAAGTATTAAAATCATGAACCAAGAATTTCTGAGGAGATGAAACCTTCAATTGCAAATCTTTCCAGCAGAAAAGAAGGTAGGGAATATGTGCATACTTTCAAAGAACAGATCAGCCAGTCTCTGAAACAAACTACCAGAGAATTTAACAAGCAGAGCACACCTACAAGAGAATGTGCCCTACTTTGTTTTATGTGACAAGTAAAATTTCAGTTCAAAATCTGCCAAGAAATAATACCAGGGAACAAAAAAGAAAATTTATAGGTTTGTCTCACTTGTGAATAATGATTACAGAAATCCTAAGGAAAATACGCTCATTCCAAATCCAACAGTGTGTTTTCTAAAACAGTGTGCCATGGTCAGTTGGGCTTAGCCCAGGAGTGCAGAGGGAGTTTCATATTCAAACACCCGTTCACTGTTTGCTACATTGGTATTTTCAAGGAGAGCTGTTTAATAGATTCAGAAAAAGCATTTGACAAAATTTTAGCACCCGTTTGTAATTAACATGGAAAAGAAAAAATAGAAAGCCAGCAATAGAGCTGCAATATTAAATAGAAAGGTAACAGACTAACTTGAGTAAGTGATTTGCTAAAAGAGAAGAAAAAGAAACCTGTATGCAGTAGTTTCCTAAAGGGAAAGAATGTGGAAGCATGTGCAGAACAGAGATGCTCTCTTATTACTACTTGAATTCTTGGCCAGCATAGTAAGACAGGAAAAGAAATTGAAGACTGAGAAGTGGAAAGGAAGAAATAAAACTCTCTTATGGTTGCTCTAGTTGTCTGCATAGTACATGCAAAAGAACATACAGCTGGGGCTGGCTGTGTAGGAGAAGCACAGAAGTTATTTGGTATTCTCTATGCCATTAATAAGTAGAAGATGCAGCTACAAAATGACAGCATTTATAATAACACCATCATCTCTGCAGGACCCATGAATAAAGCTAACAAAAGTTGTATGGGACTTGTGCACAGAAGCCTGGAACTTTACTGAAAAATAATAAAAACCTAAACCACAGATCGTTTTCAAAGACAGGAAAAGTTTATGTAAAGCTATTGAGTTTCCAGTCTGTAGATACAAGCATAGTTTTGTGGAACTTGTTAAAAGAAGAAATTGTGATAGTCACACAGTAGAATGCTGCATAGCAACAAAGAGAAGCAAACTGGAGCTACCACCTAAGTGGCCTGTGCACCTGTGCAGGTCCAGCACAACTGAGTAGCTGGATTGCAGGTATGTCCACTGTACCTACTTCCTGTCTCGGGTATCTGCCTGAGAGGACCATAGGCCTGTGCCCACACACAGTCTTGGTCACACTTTATAATAACCAAAAACTGGGACCAACCCAAACATCTTTCAGAAGGAGGATGGGTGCCTGGTGCATCTCCCAGTAGAACACTCAGCAATGAGTAGGAGCCACTGCTGGTGCCACATGAAGGCAAATAGGGAGGTGTCTCCAGACCAGCTTGCTGTATGACAGAAGGCATGCTATGAGGTTCCATTGGTGTGGAATTCCAGAAAATACAGTTTCACCCATTAACAGACAACATATTGTTACTAGCCTAGACAAAGCAGGACGGTAGGAATATGAGAGTTTTGTAGAAATAGTGGATATATTTGTTAGCATTTATTAGCTCTATACTAACTATGCAGTTTTTTTATTACACATAAATCATACCACAGTAGATTTAAATCATACCACAGTAGATTTTATTATGAAGTATCTTGTTTAGAGGTGCATACATATGTGTTAAAACTATAAAGAAAAGAAAGGAAATTATTACCATAAAAAGTCAGAATGATTACTTCTGAGTGAGGAAGGTAGGCTGTGGCCTACAAAGGCATTGGGGAACATCCCCTGGCTGCTGGCAGTGTTTGTGGGGGCTCTTTGATATACAGTGTTAGTTTTGTACTTATTCTTTATTATGTATTTGTTTTGTTTACCCATCTATATGTTTCATTTTATCCCCCCAAAAAATGGAGGAATAGAACAGGGACAAGAAAGACCACTTTTCCTACAGAGCGTAAAGACTTAGAAAGTCTTGGCTTTTAAAACATTGTGATAAAATTGATAGGGAATATGGAGCCTTGAAACATCCCTGTGAAAATAGATTGCTGTGGAAATGAAGGAATATTCATAGATGGTAGTTAGTTACCCAATGGGAGAAACAAGAGATTGGAACCCTACCCCACACCGTGCTCAGGTCAACTCCGGATGGTTTAAAATTTTAAATGTCAAAAGCAAACTTTTTGACTGGGATGTAGCTCAGTAGTAGATGGAGTGCTTAGAATGTGCGATGACTTAGGTTTGATCAGCAGCACCAAAGAAAAGAAAAAGAAAGAAAGAAAAAGGCAAACCTCTTAATTTTTAATTGAGAAAATAAAGGTGAATATATTTCTGATCTAAGAGTAGGGAAAGATTTTTTAAAAACACAAACCATAAAATACCACAGTGGTATGTTCCTGTAGGCCCAGCCACTCAGGAAGCTGAGGCAGGAGAACTGCTTGAACCCAAGAGTTTGAGGTCAGCCTAGGTGACAAAGTGAGACCCTGTCTCAAAATGGAATGGAATGTGAAGTGGCTCGAATTGTAGCCCAATGGTAGAGCATGTGCTTTGCATTGTGCAAATCTGAGGTTCAGTCCCCAGCACTGATAAATTATACTACTTAAAGGCTGAGGATTCGCCTTAAAGTGTCTGTAGCACATCACAAGGAATGGTATCAGGAAGTATAAACATCACAGAACAGAGAAAAAAGACAAACCCGTTGGAAACCAGTAGGCTCCCATAGCATACATGCAGTCAGGCAAGCACAGGGATGTCTCATCCTGTCCAGGAAAGTGCTGTGTCCTCATCATTGTAGCCAGCGAATGGCCTCCATCTCTGGTGGGGGGCCGGGGGAGGGCAGCCTGGAGCCAAGCAAATCCTTACTCTGCTCCCAGGAGTATAAACTAAGTAAATCACTTGGGAAAAGAGTTGGACAGCCAGGCGCAGTGGTGCACGGCAGTAATCCCAGCAGCTCAGGAGGCTGAAGTAGGAGGATTGCAAGTTCAGAGCCAGCGTCAGCAACTCAGTGAGACCCTGTCTCTAAATAAAATGCAAAAAGGAGGCTTGAGGTTGTGGCTTAGTGTTAAAGTGCCCTTGAGTTCAGGCCCCAGTACAAAAAAAAAAAAAAGGCAGAATCTGGTGAAACTGAAGTGTGTGTCCCACGTGACCCAACAGGCAGCTCCACAGCTTCTACACCTCAAGGGGCTCCTGGACTCGCACCCCAGGAAGCACAAGAGCAAGCTGAGCAGCATCTTCATCCAGCAACAGAACGGGCAGGCTCATGGAGGAAGTTCACAGAGTGTGCTGAGTGGAAGAGGCACTAAGAAGACATCCACCCAGGACGTTCCCATCTCTAGAAGCTCACAAACCCACATGACCAAGCTGCTATGAGAGAGGCTAATCACACAAATGCCAGAACAGTGACTGCACCCCTGGGAGAAGGCAGCAGGGCACTGGGGTTGCCAGCACTGGGGGCAGTCACTTGGGTCATGCTGCATCCTAGTGACCTTGTGTGCCTATTTTTTGTGCCTGGTACAGGCATGCAGTCTAGAGTTGATGCAGGCCTGATGGGGAGGCAGTACAGTCTGGTCTCACCAGGCCCAGGGTCCTTGGGGAACAGCTTGGGTTTACTGCGCAGAATTTAGATACCCATTGGAAGCCTTGGTGTGGCTTAGATTAGGGTTTTTCATTGATTTGCTTTGAACCGGGATGTGATTTCTTTTTTTGAGTATTCTAATTGCTATGTAGAGAACAGAGTGGCTGTGGGGAGCGGGTCACACTAATGGAGACGGTCTGGAAGCACTTGCCATTTGAAGGAGACAGTAGAGGCAGAAGTAGAAGTTTCCAGAAAGTTTAGAAGTTTACATCACATACACAAGGCTTGACCTGCTGTGGCCAGGGAAAAGGATTCTTGGTTTTTGAGAGATGGCACCACCCTTCCCTAGTAGACCTCAGCTTTCCCTCTACCTGGGTAGAGACCACTGGCCAGCAACACACAGTTGGGGATACACAAATGTCTACAGTTAAATGATTGAACCACAATTTAAGAAAATTCCATTTGTCCATTGGATGAGAGACACCACCACCATTCTCCTGTTTCACTTTCAGATCTGCTACCTAAGTTAGAGTTGGAATGATGAGAACTGCAAAATTACACAAGGGTTTAAACAAAAGAAAATGTTCTTTACTTCATTTAATACGAAGTTGGCCCTTGCTGCCTGAGAAATGAGGCCAAGTATAGACTTTCTCAAAAACTGTTTAGTATGCAAGTTTTATGGACCAGAACACAGTGAGCCTAGAGGCTGGCCTGAATCTGTGCAGGGGACATGTCCTCTGGTAGAGTGCTGTAACCCTGTCTCACTGTCATGAGTCCTCGTGACAATGTGAATTCCTGAGTAAGTTAAGACACGGAGAGATCCCAGCATTGTCCTTAGTTTAGGTTATGTGCCAGCCCCAGCCTCACATGAAAATTTTGTGACACATGAAAATTATACAAAGCACGAACTTTATTCTTTGTGTGAATAGAACTTTGTTGGTGTTCAGCTGTGCTCACCTGGCTGCCCACTGCTGTTGGGCTCTTGTGGAGGGTGTACACTTGTCACGACTGCTGGCCTGTCACAGAACACATGGGTCATCCCCAACAATCCTTGATAGCTGTGGCCTCAGGCTTGCCGTGGAGCCCTTCCCAGCAGTTCATGTGGGCAAGGCTCAGGCAGAGCTGCTTCCATCTGCCCTCCCAGTTATGGATAGCTGTGGCTGTCCCCTTGCCTTCCCAGCTACAAGGACTGAGATATGGAGCTAGCTGGTGGCTTCTTTCCTATTCTCATGGGGAGCTTAGGCCACACACAGGGCATGTGTTAACACAGCCCACTCCCTGCCAACCAGTGCCAGAATTGCCACCCTGGAGTCCTGCCTCAAGACATCTTCCAGTCCCGTCGTCATCCTCCCATCAGTCCTGCCAGTCTATCTGAGGAGCACGGTTGCAAACCCCACTCCCACTCTGCCCAGCTGCTGCCAAACTGTCACCTGCTCCCCAGCAAGCTGTATCTGAAGTAGTAGCCTTTGGATTAAGGAAGCAGTGACCCTCCCAGCCCTTTGTCCTTATCCTTGTCATAGCCACATCAAGAAGGACAGGGTACTAGCCAATGGTAGCTGATGAGCCAGTGAGCACCTTCCCGTGAGGAAGCTGAAGGAGGCCTGTATCCCTTAACAGTGCTGCCTCTGCCTTCCCCCATGTGGAGCCAGCTTCTTTCTGAAGGAACCCTAGTTGTTCCTGGAGCATGAGGTGGAAAACAAAAAGCACCAGAGACCACACAGGCCATGTGGTCAGTGTCCTGAAGATGGGGCCCCTGCCTCCCATTCTCCAGGTCAAGGAGGGAGTCCTGGGCTTCAGATCCCACTCCCTGACTCACACCCACCTCCAGTGAGTTTCTGGCAAGATTGGGGCTGACAAGGTTGGCCAGGCCCCAGCCTGGGTGGGGGCTGCCTCCCTCATCAGCCTCTTGTCTTTGCAGGTTCTGCTTGGACTCCGCTAGACAGACCCGACAGAGACTGTCCATCAACTGGTCCAACTTTAGCTTGAAAAAAGCCACTTTTGCTGCCCACTGAACAAAGACCACATGGAGAGGGACACGCGGGAGGAGGCCAGGCTATGCCACTTCAAGAGCTGAGCCCCTCGCCGGCCCCCCAGAGCTGCCGTGTCCACCCAGGACGGGGCAGGGTGGGGCGCCACAGCCTGAGACCCAGACCGAGAACTTGCTGCTCGACCCGCGTTGTAGCTCGTGTGCGTGTAGTCTGTGAGTGAGACTTCTTTGATTGTAGCTCTGTGCAGTCGGATTGGAACAGTAGTTCCCGCCAGTTCCTCCCACCACCGCGGCCTCAGAGGTGTGGGCCATGGCCAGAGATGAGTGCAGCATACGCGTGCTCCGTTTGCCTCTGCATCACGCCCATCCTGACGTCTGTCCCGCTGAGTGTCGCCATCCCTCAGCTCCCATGTGCCCTGCGTCCCATCAAGGCGGGCTGGGCGGGCAGGCCTCCGTTCTTCATGATCTACTGTTTCCAAGTGTACACGTTGCGCTGTTTGTGTTTGATCCCCTGACTCGTAGCCAGCTTGTGTAAGACCCCTTGCAGAATGAGAACGTTAAAAACAAGAAATCCACCCAGTACTCACACCATCACGTCTGTTCTAGAGCGTGCGACCGTACTGACACGGAGGCCTGCCTGGCTACTTTTTAACATATTGTTAAGTAATATTAAAATCATGTCTTTCTTTTTGAAAGATGGAATACATTAGTACAGCAGGAGACCCAGTCTGGTTGCTTTCTGCTGGGGGGGTGTGGCTTTGGTGGGAAGTGACAAGTGGGTGATGTGTCCCCCCAGGAGCCAGAGCTGATATCAGCTTAGGGCTCCGGGTGCCCTCATGGACCTCCATGTGCTGGGCTGGCCCAAGCACCAGGACAGAGCAGTCAGCAGGAGACACAACCACTGGATCATCACGGCTTCACGTGGACATGCCAAGAAGCCACAAGACTGGGTGGGCAGGCTCAGCAGTTCACCTGAGGGACAAGGGTGTGTTGGATTAACCCTCAGCAGCTTCATTGAGATCAGAGGCCCCTACAGCACAGAGCAGAGGGTCAGCAGGGCAGGGTCACCTGTGGCCTTTAGGCAGGTTCCCATCTACACTTTGGAAAGGTTGTGATCTAGACTAAAATGATAAATTATATTCGACTGGGTATATACATTGATAACAAAGTGAGTAGTATTTAAAATGAAAAAAGGAATCCCAGCTTGTCCCTTTCTTCTGAGATCTCTTTAGGCAATTTGCAGAACACCCACATGGAGCTGCCACCTGATTGCTGTCTTACGTCCATATCCTCCTAGAGCACTGCGTAGCTCCCTCGTCTCCCAAACTCTTGGCATCTGGAGGTCAGAGGGCTGGGAGAGGCAGGCCAAGGCAGGGCTGCTGTGGTCGACAAAGCCAGGAGCTGGCTACAAAGCTCCTGCACCAAGGTGACTTGACAGCCCAGAGGGACCTGGTTTGTGGGACAATAGGGTTGGGGCCAGCTGGGGGGGCAGCAGGTCCTGGCAACTCTGGGGACTGCACCAAGAATTGGGTGGATAGTCAGAGGAGGTACAGAATTGGGAGTTTTCCTTTGTTTATTTTGTTTTATTTTTTCCAGGTGGGAGGAAGAACAGCACATCCCTTTGTTCATAGGATGGTTCAGCGAAGGGAAAAACAGGCTGGGCTGTGACCACGGCAGGAGAGTGCCCTTGAGAGGGCAGGGACCCTGATGCAGTCCCTCAGGGATGCTGGCTTCATCTCCTGGCTGAGGTGGGGGCTGGGTAGGGGCCAAGGGCTAGGGCCTGTACCCATGTAGGAAACCCTAAATCCTGCCTGCCCAGGCCTGTTCTCCCTGTGGACAGTCTTGAAGCTGTGCTGGGAGCCAGTCCCACCTCTGGACCTCAACTTACTCATCTGTCCAGTAGAGCCATGCCAGCTGCTAAGAAGAACCACAGGGTCCCCAGCTGTGATATCAGGAACTGTTGGGAGCATGAGTGGTAAAGGGATTCCTGGGTACCCCAACAAGGACCATCACACTGAGGCCTAGAGATAATTCAAATACCAGTCCTGAGCCCAGCTCCTGAGCATTTGTCGAGGTATAGTAGTCAACTGCAGCCTCCCCTGCTCCCATTTCACCAGCCTTCAGCCTGCCCACCAACATCTGTTCCCCAAGCCCTCAGACTTCCTGGCCCTTCCCTGCTGTTCCTCCGCCAGGAACAACTGTCCTGTTTCCTTGGAGGTCACTCACCCTTCAAGACCGTCCACGTGGTTCTTTGGGTTTTTCTTCAAGAGGGTACTGCTCAACAGTGCTTATCCTCAGGAACAAAAAGAAATAGAGGATGGAACCAACTTGAGGGCACAGAGGAGAGGGAGGAGGGCTCCTGAGGACAGTCCTTCCAGGACACAGCATGGCCTGGTGATCTGTCCCACCCATTGTGCCACTTACGTATGAGGGACTAAGACCCAAGGTGTGTATGCTGCCTAGGGCAGCTGTAGACAGCCCCAGTGTTGCTGTCCTCATCAGAGCCCAGGCCTAGGGCTGTACCTGTTCTTGAGGAGATCAGTCCCCACTGGGTAGCCTGATGTTTTTGACTCTTCCCACAATATTACTAATCATGAAATGAAATAAAATAACAATAGCTAGAAAAGACCCTACCAGTGGAAAAATTTTTATTGAACTTTTTAACTTTCATACTCATTCCATTAAAACGAAACGAGCCAGGTCAGTGACACCTGAGGTCCTAGCACTCGGGAGGCTGAGGCCAAGGATCCCTTGAGCCCAGAAATTCAAGACCAGCCTGGCAACATAGATCCTGTCTCAGAAGACAATGTCAACAACAACAAAAATTAAAATCAAAATGAATTTAATGATACCAGAAAAGATTACTGCTTTTTTGTTAATTTGGGGAGGTGGTTTTTATTGTTTGGTTATTTTTACACTAGGGATTGAACCCAGGACCTTGAGCATGCTAGTCAACTGCTCAACCTCTGAGTGGCATCAGCTACATCCCTAGCTCTTCTATGTTGCCCAGGCTGATGTTCAACTCATGGTCCAAAGTGATCCTCCCAAGTGGGAGAATGTGCACCACTATGTCTAACAATATATTTATAAAAGGGAGTAGTAAAAAATTGATTTTTTTTTTTTTTGGTAGTGCTAGAGATTGAACCCAGGAACATTGTACCACTGAGCTGTGTCCCCAGCTCCCCCCCCCCTTTTTTTTTTAAAGAAACAGTTCTCACTGAATTGCAGATACTGGCCTTGAACTTGCAGTCTCCTGCCTCAGCCCTCCAAGTCACTGGGATTACAAGTGTACACCACCATACCTGGCTAGTTCACTGTTAACGACAAAAACTTACCATGTCATCGTCCAGGATGACAGGTAAAAGTGCCTCAAGTTCTGGCTCTTCATCTACAGTCAGTAGCATTATTTTGGACCCACTACTGAAATGCAAGAATAAGCAAGCATTCAGGAGTGGGCATCATGAACTATATAAGGAGAGTCAAGGCAATAGGAATTATCAGTAACTTCTTGCAAGCACACCTGTGGCTGAGCGGGTCAGGAGACACCTGTGTAACCAGGAGCCTCCAGATAGTTCTTGGTGGCAAATGCATTAGGTTCCAGGATGAGTGAGTGGAGGGACATAAGAGGGACCAATTGCTATGGAAACTGTCCTCTTTCACACAGATGATGGCATGCCAACAGCTCAGGATAGTAGTCCTTAAGAGAAGGCAAGACAGGAAAGCCCTTAGGCAACCAGCTCTTTGCCTAGAGGCAGCTTCCAGGTCCCAGCACTGAGACAGGAACCCAGCAGCATTGTTGAACAGAGGAAAGACCAGAGTTTGAGGAGGCCACAATAACTGGGATTTGGGTCAGAGTTCCAGGCAGGAGGGGCTTGTACGTAGAGGTCTGGAGATGAGATCTGCTGCGAGTCCCCTCTATTCCTTGGATCAGTTCTCATCTGTGCACAGGTTGCATAAATCTAAGCACTGAGTCTCCAAAAAGCAGCAAGGTGTTCGTACCTGATGTTTGAATTGGGTGAAGTGGAGGCAGGTAGTAAGGCACTGGAAACATGCTTATTAGCTGCCTCAGAGGAATCCAGTTGACCCCACACAACTTCCTGGCCGATAGAATAAAGCCCAGCATTCTCTGAAGAAATACAGGAACTTCCCACCTCAGCCAAGAGCAAGTCACAACACGGGCACATGGTCAGAGGCTACCAGGCTCTGCCAAAATAAGGAAAACAAACTGTAATCAAGAGGAGTTCCAGTCAAAAGAAACAGATTCAAAAGAAACACAGTAAGTCCATAAGAAACTTAAAAGGACCATTATAAGTCTTTTAAATGTTCTCAGTGATGTCAGTATAAACAAGGTGAAGGAATACATGTAAAAACCAAAAAAGACAAAAGGCCAGTGTGCACAAGGCAGTACTGCCAAACAACATGAGCTGAAATGGTGTACCCTGGACAGAATTAATAGCAAATAGGAAGTCTGCACTTGATGTTGTGTGCATGTGTCTATATCACATATTTGTGTATACACACATGTGTATGTGGAAAATGCATATGAACTAAAAAATATGGTTTGCCATCTGTGGAACTGGAGTCCTAAAAGAGGTAGGGGACAAACTGAGTGCAGTGGCCCACACCTGTAATTCCAGTAGCTCAGGAGGCTAAGGCAAAAAGATCACAAGTTCAAAGCCAGTCTCAACTTAGGCCCTAAGCAACTCTTAAGACCCTGTCTCTAAATAAAAATTTTTAAAAGGGGCTGGGGATGTGGCTCAGTGGTCAAACAGCCCTGGGTTCAGTCCTCAGTACAAAAAAAAAAGAAGAAGAAGAAGAAGAAATGGAAGTATAAGAGGTGGGAACCTAGGGCATTGTGCATGCAAGACAGATACAACCACCAATACATTGGGAACCAAAGAACCAGAGTCCTAGAAAATCATGTTCAAAATGCTGAAAGCAATGGTTCATGAAATCTCAAAAATAGGTAGAGAAACTATCATGTGCCTGTGGTCCCAGTTAACTTGGGAGGCTGAGATGAGAGGATCACTTGAGCCTAGGAATTGGAAGACAACCTGGGCAACATAGCAAAAACCCTGTCTTTTTTTTTTTTTTTTTTTTAAGGCACATTGCAAAGTATGGATTAGCAGTCTTAACAGAAATCATGAAAGAGAAGAAAATGACATTTAAAGCATTGAAGGATAAAACCAAAACAAAAACCTGTCAAGCTCAGATTCTGTATATAGAGCATAACTCCAGAAATGAAGGTGGGGAGATCCACTTAAGACTGACCCGCTGCTTAGTGTGACTGGTGATAAGTTATCCAAAGAATGCACTTGCTAGGCGCATTGGCAAGTCTGCAGTCCCAGTGACTTGGGAAACTAAGGCAGGAAGGTCCCAAGTTCAAGGCCGCCTGGGCAACTTAAGACCTTGTCTCAAAATGAAAAATAAAAACAAGGGGCTCTTGATGTAGCTAAATGGTAAATTACCCCTGGGCTCAATCCTTAGTACTACCAAAAAATAAAAATGTTAAATAGTTAAAATCAGTAAATAAACATTAGAGGGCAGGTGGTATGGCTCAGTGGCAGAGTGCTTGCTAGTATGCATGAGATGCTGGGTTCCTATCATCAGCACTACAAAAAATAAAAATAAAGCCTCTGTAAATGGTCCTAAAAGCAAACTGCAAATAAAGAAACATCCATCCAAGGATAACTATAAAAAAGTTGATAAGAGCACTCACCAC